TTAATTAATAATAATATATATACTATATATNTAGTATATGGTNTAGTGTNTGTGTGTGTGTGTGTGTGTGTGTGTGTGTGTGTGTGTGTGTGTGTAGTGTGTGTGTGTGTGCGTGCGTGTGCGTGTATATATATATATATATATATAATACATGCAAAGGAACATACCAATATAATATGACTGACGGTAGATCCTACCAGTGGCAGCGCCAGTAGCAGATTTCGGAACAGGTGACCGCCTAACCATGCACATGTTCCAAGAAGCTGTAAAATTCAAAAGGATTGACTTACTTTACGATGTATTTACAATTATGTAAATATTTATAATGCGTTAGGGTACGTAAAGTAGGATGTCACAAGTGTACGGATGTATATGTATGTTTAACAACAAAATCACTTGCTACTTACATCAGTATATAAATGTGTGTCATTTGTTCTACAGAGAAATACAACCGGTTTTGTAGCCATATATCACACATTCACAGTATCGCAAATGTAGACTATAACAGACCAAGATGGAAAGACATACCGCTGCGCACACGCAGAACGCTATAAGCATAGCATAGTTGATCATCTTCTCCTGTAGATTGAAGGAAGAGAGAGAACCATGATGTTAGAGGGTACGCGCGTGTTGTGTAATTTGTTCCTTATCATATGCAGTGAGTTCGGTTGGAGTGTGACCGGCCGGGTGGCCAAACCCGAATAACACAATAACTGCTTGGTATTTAGTACAGAGACATATCGACGTGTTATTTGCGAGCTAGTGAGAGTCCCCAGCGGCCACACAATAACCGTGTATAAATTCATATTTGATATCCTTGTGCCTTAGAACTATCGTACAGACAATAAAACTCTATTGCCACATTGATCGTCTGGCAAACGCTCGCTCGCTCGCTCGCGGATAGGAACTATGGACGTCCGCGACCAATCTGACCACTTCCCTACAAGAATGTTTATACTCACTATTTATCAAACGAGGTTCACAAACTGGTGCATGGTATGCGTACTTGTATTCTAGTATAATTTAGGACTGGTTTCACAGCTCACACAACACCGAGATACACAGCCGATGTTTTAAACTGTCGCTCGTGCACTGCTTTCAATCACTAAGCTACAATGTTGCAGTGAGTTCACAGCAGTTTTCAGGAGCGCTCTCGCAATGAACCAAGCCCAAACAACCGGCACCATAGAACTATTACACCACACCTGTTTAGATTCTGCACTCCATAATTGCTCGCCTCCAAGGATGAAGGAGTCGAATCGAGATGACCTCGGCAAGTCGTCACCGCCGAATATAGCATCGGTCTCCGCTACATCAGTGAGATGGAAAGGCAATGTGAATCAAAGTTCTCGCAAAGATGAATTCACTCTAAATAACATGCGTACAGCCTGAAAGCATCCGATCCAAACGACTTCGTAGTGCAGAACTTTCGAAAACTGAGCAGAATAAGACAGACAAAACACAAACAGCTCTGACGATACTTGCCATACCCATCGGAACCTGCTGTAACGTCAATCAGTCGGCTGATTCGATCTTCTCGACGATACGTTGTTTATGTTACTTGAAGCTTTCCTAAGATATACCTACACCTAGAGTTGTATGCGCACGTTTCACACCCACAATATATATAAATATATATATATTGTTATCGTGATCGAGATTCAACATGTAGTCCACACGTCGAGTCACCAATCCCAATCACAATTTGAGTAGGATTTGTTTAGGGTTTAGGCCTACTCGCGTTTCTTTCAGCCCGCCAAAAAAAAACTAAGAAAAAAATTACACTCGGCCCCTCGGACTCACGGAGACCGGAGTCGGGGTGTGTTGTGTTTTTTTTGTAAGTTTCAAAAAAAACCCCCAACAACTGTATCTGTAATGCGCCCCAGCAGCTCGGTAAGTACCGAACTCCACTCAGGTCCCTGTATTGACAGCGTGAACCAGAAAGTGATGACACTGTTATTTACAACCCTATCCAGTATGTCAATAACAATGTCATATTTAGCGCAGGGCTATGTATATCGAACACAGTAACGTAGGTCCCTCCTTTTGGTTTCCATAGTGGAAGTTTGGTCTATTATACTGTCTAACCAAATCTCATCATACTTTCTCATCTTATATTTATTTTACGTTATTTTTTATTTTAAAGGGTGTACATCTATACTATTGCTGATCTTTCTTAAGTGATGGTACATTTTATCGTTATGCCACAGTACTGTCAGTCCCCATCTCGCGGCAAGGAATGGAGCAATTCGCGGGTATCAAAGGCCAGTTGTTAAAACTCACACTACAGGCCCGGGCAGTACGCATGACTACTCCGTGATTGCACTGACATGGAGCCTGATCAGGAGGAGGCTGTGCAAGGGCAAATTTGCCGCATGTTCTTTGCCCCAGCCCTTTGGGATGGTGCAGGTCGCAACCTGTCACCAGCTTGTGCAGTACATCATACCGATCTCATCGCTGGCAACAACTCACCATTGTATCAGTTCCTCCATCTTATGAATGTCGAATGAATGTCGAAAGGATATCGCCGTATTGTGCGGACATGTTCACAGAGATTTCTTCTTTGTTGCATAACCTGGGTGCTATCGAAAGCGTTTCTCAAATGATGTAAAGTCGCCGTCACGGACACCGACCTGGAAACTGCTGCCTTTGCGATTTCCCTCAGGGGCGCTATGTATTGGAGACACCAAAGTCTTGTATTGCTGAGACTAGCACCCCGCAGTTATCCACACCCAAACCGACCGATGAGCAATCGCTTCAACGGGCGCAGCAAGAACTCTCTGTTGGCCCACAATTGGAGTCAGCCCTCCAAGTGGAGTTGTACGCCACTGCCACGCTCCCGTTCAGTGCTGAGGAGAAAATAAGACCAAGTAGTCAAGATTTTCATTCATGAAATTGCTCAGATTAATCTAGCTTACATCCATCCACTTCAAGCGTTTGTATTCCCGGAAAGCTAGAATACTACACCGCTCGCGGTGCCTCAGAACTTTTCAGCTATTCCTTCGAACCTCATTGGCGCTGACAAACAAGCCAGCCGTCCAGAAGGAAAATACACTACCTGTTCCAGTTGCGGTAAGCATCAGGGACACAGCGCTGTAAAGAAGTGTGCTGCTGCTAGGAAGGCATGTAGAAATACGGCCT